GTGCCGAACGTTCTCAGATTGGCTGCTTGAACACGGCAAAATTGATGCCAATTTTTCATCAAAAATCATGTTCAGCGACGAAGCGCATTTCACTTTGAATGGGACGGTAAACAAGCAAAACTGCCGCATCTGGGCGAACGAAAATCTCCGTGAGTATCAAGAGCAGCCGATGCATCCTCAAAAAGTGACTGTGTGGTGTGCATTGTGGTCAAAAGGCATCATCGGACCTTACTTTTTCGAAAATGCGGCCGGGGACGCCGTTACCGTCAATTCTGAGCGATATCACGTGATGATAGAGGACTATTTTTTGCCGCAACTTGAAGGAATGGATATGGACGATGTTTATTTCCAACAAGACGGTGCAACATGCCACATAACCAAAGTCAATATCCATCGATTGCAGTCCTTCTTCGGTGATCGCGTGATTTCGCGCAGAGGAAATGTGCCATGGCCACCAAGATCGTGCGATTTGACTCCCTTGGACTTCTTTTTATGGGGATATTTGAAAAGCAAAGTCTACGTCAACAAACCAGCCACCCTTCAAGAACTCAAAAACAACATCATTGCCGAGATAAATGCCATAGAACCGACCATGTCGCAAAATGTCATTGAAAATTTCGACCATCGCGTGGACGTCTGTAAATCCAGTCGTGGTGAACATTTGAGCGATATTATTTTTCATACATAAATGGTATAAATGAACCTTCAAAATAAAGTACCCAACTTGATTTGAATATCAATCTTTCTCGTTTTAATATGCGTTTACTTTCCTGCGTCCGCTTTGGACAACCCCATATAATCAGGTCATATACAAACTTAGAATGTTCTCCTATTTCGATTTCCGTAGGCAAAAGTATAGAAAAATCGATTTCACCTTGAAATGACCTTCAATGTCAAGGTCAAGGTTATATCTAAATTCGGAATGTATCCGTCTTTCGATTTCTGAGGTCAAAAGTATAGGGTCCCATTAAAGAAAATCGCTTTGACCTTGATATGATCCTCAAAGTCAAGGTTAATGTCATAGTCAACGACACATCCGAACTATGCTCCAATTTAACAAAATAGTTTGACTTTGAAATGACCTTGAAGGTCCTACAACATTTGCATTGATCATTCTTTTCGGGGAGGGGGGTTTTTGATGAAATTTCGAGATCGTTATGGCGTGGGTTGAGGTTATGCCTAGAAAAAAAATACATACCGTTGTACGGAACAGAACCGTATTACGATTTGGACGCAATGCAAACTGCAATCTAGGTAAACCTAAGTGATACACTTATTTGATAAATGAATATTTGTTTCATAATCTCCTAATATAACTCGAAACAGACTTAACCGTGGGACATTTTAAATACATTCGTGAATTGATTTATAATCCGGTCCTGTCAATGAACAAGATAAGTCAACCAGTTCCATTAATTACAACTCGGATTCTGCAACCTGTTCGTTACAGCAATAGAAAATAATTCTGTTCGCGACTTGTTTGCTATGGTATAAATTAAATGGCAAGCGATACAGTCTCCTTAGTGGGAATATATTCTATGTTCGGATGTCTGGAATATTGGGTCACCTGGGTAAGGGTAGTAACTGTTTAAAACAGAATTCGTCAGTCAGTAGGTCTGTCAAGTTTAGTTGCACAGATACCAGACACAGTCAGGGAGAAAGAAAGATAATTAATTTAGAGATTGATTGTCTAAGAAAAATTGCAATTTTACCAATACTTAGCAGAATTTTCCAATGGTATGCGAGCTCCATTCACTAAAACCTCAGACGGTGCGCCGCTACGTTTTTTTAGAAATGAATAATTTTGATCAGCCACCTTTGCGGCGCATACACAGGAAATTTGTTCAAGTACACAATTGCACTGGATCACATGAAACTTTAAGGAAAGTGATGAGAACAATGGGATTTCGTTGGAGAAATGCAGGAACTAATAGAATACTTCTTATGGCGAAACCAGAGATTCAGCATCGTCCTAAAATTTATATGGACGAAACATACATCCATACATCAAAATCAAAAGAGTTGGAGCGATAATACCAATCAGTGCCTTCACAGGCCAGTTTTAAAAGGACAAAGATTTATTATTGTACATGCTGGTAGTGAAAATGGTTTCGTGGAAAATGACTTTCTGAAATTTAAATCTAATAGTAAGTCAGGTGATTATCATAGTGAGATGAACTATATAAACTATAAAAAATGGCTTCAGGATAAACTGATTCCCAACCTACCACCAAATAGTGTTTTGGTTATAGACAACGCTCCGTACTAAAATGTTCATATATAACTTATGAAATAGACAGAATAATGACTGAAAAAGGTCATTCTGTTTTGAGATTGCCACCATATCACCCCGACTTGAACCAAATTGAGTTGGTTTGGGCATCTTTGAAACAATATGTGGCTGAGAGAAATCTAGATTTTAATCTCAAGACTATCGACAAACTTTGCTACGACTTTTTCTCGTCTTATCCCACAGAAGAATGGAAAAAGCGATGTGAACATGCCAAAGGTTTCAAGAAGTAGTATACGGAAATGGAACCAGCACTCGACTTAGTTGTGGATCAAATAATAATAATAAAAGATAGCGATAGCGAAACCGAAGATTTAAGTTTAAGTAGTAGCCCAGATTCCGATTCCAAACTTTCAGGATTTAAGCTTCTCTGAAACTTCATAAATCTCTAAAATACTGACCCTACTTTTCATTTGATTGTTTATTAATTGAAATTATTAATTATTAAAAATTAAATGAGCACCAATCAATTTCAGGCTTATAGCTACATAGCGTGCAATACTTATTTTATGGAATAAATTGTTTTGGTTTCCTTTTGACACATGCCAACAATTTCGATTAAAAATAACAAGTATTCCATTATTGAAATTATTCGATTAATTCAGGACGCAGACTGTACCACTCGAGATCGAATGCCATCTCTTTTGTTCCGAATGCGTTCTCCCTCTCTCATGTGCGCAATCCCAACAAATCCTCATATCTCTTCCTACACGAGCTGTAACTCCGTACTATGCTCAGACCGAAAGCCAAATTGAATTTTGCCATCGATTTTTGCTTGAGTGCAATTTCAATCAATAAAAAATGTTAAACACACATAGGGCAACATGACGTGCATCTTTTATCATGGCCCAAATGACAATGATTTCATGAATATGTGCGATGTGTGTAGCGTTTTATCCTTTTCATATCTGTGAGTGTTATTACCTTTTGCTCGCTGTTTTGCGAATTTAATTCCAACGAGGATTTTGTAATTTTGCCTAGTATCTATACAGGGTGTCCGCAAAGTTGGGGGTTTCCTTTACACGACGTGTAGATCTTGAAAACATAAGCAATTTTTCTTAGTACCATATACACCAATGTCTTAAGGGAACCGAGATAAAGGGCTCTGCAACATCAAAAATATCTGAATACCGTCCTGTAGCCGCGAGATCACCGACTGGTACAAGGTCACTGGCTCAACCCGACGACAGAACTGGGTCGGGGTCAATGTGTCAGGTCAGTATGCAACCTTCAACCGACGGTTACGGTCACGCGTGTAGAGGTCATCGCGTAGACGAGAATCCCTCAACAAGCACTAGAGACGTGGCTAGAGAAGTGAACGTATCAAAAACTAAAGTGTGGCAAACGCTGCGTGAAGAGGGGCTGTATCCGTTTCACGTCCAACGTGTACAAGCCCTTCAACCTGACGATTTTCCAGCAAGAGTGCGGTTTTGTGAGTGGTTGTTGCATCAACATGACAATAATCCGGACTTTTTGAAGTGCATATTGGTGACAGACGAATCTACGTTCACGCGTAATGGGGTGAATAACTTTCGCAACACTCATGTTTGGTCAGTAGAAAATCCGCACGCTGTCCGTCGGGTACATTTTCAACAAACGTTTTCGGTGAATGTTTGGGCTGGCATGGTAAACGGTATGCTCATTGGACCATTTATTCTCCCAAATCGATTGGACGGAATGCAATACCTAGACTTTTTACGCAACATTTTACCTTCCTTGTTAGAAGATGTGCCATTAAGTGTAAGACAATCAATGTGATTTCTGCGTCTGCTCGGTAGCGCATCAGCTGATTTCATTTTCTGATGGAGCGGTATGATTTCGGGCAGAGACGTACTTAGCCCTTCTCGTCAACTGGAGAGTGAGCACTTTTTCCTTCATTTTTTTTTACTTGGTCGCCCTCGTTTCACTGCACATTACCTTTGTTATTTCAAGGGTAGTTGTTTCTGAAAAGGAAAACCCCAACTTTGCGGACACCCTGTAGTTGCTACTAAAGAGAAATTATGGTGAAAACTAAATATGTTTCATTTTACTAATTCTGGAGGTCAGTTAAGGTTGGTGGACCATGCAAGGATCCTCCTTGCAATCATAATATGGGCCAGTACGAGATCCTGCCTCCCTTGTCTCACACAATCCCCTTCTACGTTAAACCGTATGATATTGATGTACTAAGACTATTTGACTGTAAGCCCCTCATTAACCTAGATAAACCAACCACATTTGAAGAACCGAAATTGGTACATTCCTAGAGCAAGTTATTGATTTGTCATGAGCATCTTCAAGATCCAATTGACACTCCGCGAGTGTACTCCCAACGTCGCCGTCGTCCTCGATGTTTCTTTCCATCAGAGGTGCACATGTTTGTTTATATCGTGCAAAAGCCGTCTGGTTGAACATAGCCCCAAATATTGCAAATTTAGGAAGATGCAAACAAACTATTATTTTTGAAACGAACTGCGACAACTTCAAGCAGTGCTTACAGACAAAACATGTGACAGGACAGTACTTGAAATTTTTCTTCAATTTCTTCTTTACGTTTTTGATTTTGTTGCAAATTAGCTTTGGTATTTCAAACGTAATTGACTCTGAAAAAGAAAGTCTCAACTTTCAGGACACCCTGTATATACTCAAAGTTCAAGGTAGCTTTTGGTTTGCAAGAAACGTCGAAAAATATGTGTAACCAAAAACAAACTTATTATATACATAGTTTACACAGATATTTTCTTCCTTCTATAAAAAAGCACTTCTGCCTACTAACTGCGTCCTTACATTATCGTCGTCAGACATACACTCAGACATCTAGCCAGCGCCAGCCGGCCAACGCGAGCGCGGGCCCCACAAAGCTAGAACTCTTCTTATTTTGTTGTCCTGTGTCCTGTCGTGTTCGTTTCTTCCGCCGTTGTGTTGTCATCCTATGCGGACAGCCGATCTGATTCTCGCCCACTGTCAGCCGCCTGGAACAACAGAGAAACGTCTCAGATTGGAACCACTTGAAACTATCGATGGTACTTTTAGAATATACTATTCGTCATTTGTTTGTCTAGGCGGTCCGCAGGATTGCCCATTAGTCACTGTCTAATGTACGTTAGTCGAATCTGTCAGTGCTGGTTGACTAGAAACCAGACAATGCCAAGGAAAAAGAGAAAGGGAAACGGAAGAAAAAAGTAGAAGAGCAAAGAAAAACAGAAGTGTTTAGTTTTAGAGGAAACACCTAGGCTTGACCTGGTACACGGATTAATTTTGAGGTGAACTAAGCAAATTGTGGTTCGGTTTTGTTAGAGTGTAATTTTATTATATACTAAGTGACATATAAATCCGAACACGCAGTTTAAATGGTTTTATTTTAATAAACGTTGGTGAATGTATTTATCTTACTGTATACGTAAATAACAAGCGAAACATTTTTCAGCCATCTCAGTTGGACATTCCGGTTTTTATACTGCTTTTTTTTATTTCACTAACGCTCTAAAAATGAATATTTCAGCCGCAGTAAAGAATCAACGTTGGCGGATTTTGGTTCTTGACATCCTTTACGATCGGTTACGATGCCTAGAGTACGGAGACCTGTACGATTTCGTCAACTTAGTGAGTTTGATAGGGGCCGTATAGCGGGACTTCGGGAAGCTGGACTTTCTTTTCGGGCAATTGCAGTTAGAGAGCAAAGAAGTGTAGACACTGTGGTTAGGTGTTGTCAGGCATGCTTCGAGAAGGCCGTACGCAAAGAGCAAGCGGCACTGGACGCCGCCGTAGAACAACAGACCGTGAAGATCGCCGCCTAAGATTATTGGCCTTAAGGGACCGTTTCTCCACTACCTGGTCCATTGCAAATGAATGGTTCGCAGAACACGGAAGACCTATTGGCATGCGAAGTGTTTACCGACGAATGAGAAGTTTTGGCTTGTTTTCATACCGGCCACACTGGGTCCTCCCTTTAACTTGAGAATACCGACGTAATCGCCTTGAGTGGTGCAGACAACGGTCACTCTGGGATCAGGAATGGAACAGTATTGTCTTTAGTGACGAGTCTCGATTTTGTTTAGGCATGCACGATGGTCGTGCCAGGGTTAGAAGGCGACGTGGTGAAAGGAGGAATCCACAGTTTTTTGTTGAAAGACATGTTCATCACACTGTTGGAGTTATGGTTTGGGGTGCTATAGCTTATGGTGCCAGGTCACCTTTAATCTTCATCAGAGGTAACATGAACTCGCAGCGTTATATCCACGAAGTTCTAGAACCCCATCTTTTACCCTGTCTTGACACCCTGGCAGATCCAACTTTCCAACAAGATAATGCCCGACCACATGTTGCAAGAGTCACAATAGACTTCTTTCAACATAATGATGTCACATTGTTACCATGGCCACCAAGATCTCCCGACTTATCCCCAATTGAGCACGTGTGGGATATGATGGGTAGGAGATTGTTCAATTTGCAACGACCTCCTCAGATTCTAGAAGCACTTCGAGAGCAGGAATGAGATACCACAGAAGGACATTGACCACCTGATCAGAAGCATGCCTAGGCGCGTTGGAGAATGCGTAGCACATCAGGGTGCATCCACACATTATTAAAGGTCAAAGGGCTTTAAAGCAGTGCAATCATTTTGAAATTTTTATCATTTACTTATTATGCTTCATTAAGTATTTATACAAAATTTTATTAAAATAAAACCGTTTAAACTGGGTGTTCGGATTTATATGTCACTTAGTATAGTTGCCGAAACGCAATTTGGAATGTTGTTTTCAAGGCTGCCGTATGTTAGGATGACACCGAGGTACTTGACAGAATTTGTCCATGGTAGACGATTGCCGTCTACAGAAACCTCTGCTTGGGGGCATCGACGTTTTTTGGTACAATAAATAGTTTGCCTTTTCGAATGACTAATTTTAACCAGCCAGCGTTCCGCCCACTCTAGTACTTCTTCCACCGCACTCTGTAACGCATCGTGAACCAGATGACCAGTACACGACTGGGCGACAAGTGCAGTGTCGTCAGCATAGAGGTAGACTTCACAGTTGCTGGGGCAAGGGACATCATGGATAAAAAGCGAATAAAGGATTGGTCCTAGGAGCGAACCCTGAGGAACACCGGCCCGTACTTTCCAATTTAACAGACGGTTCTTTGAGCAATTTTAAGACTAAAAGTTCATAAAAATTCTTCGATCTCAAGATACAGGGTCTTAAAATTTCAAAAATGTGCTTTTTCCCTAAGCATCTTGAATATACTTTACGCAGTATCCGAAAACAATTCAAGAGACAAAAATTGTGAATTTATATTTGCTTAATCCAAAGAGAATAATCAGAATTTCACAAAAGTCAGTGGCGTACATTTTTTTACCACAAATATTCGTTCACACGTTGATTGCCACAGCAATTTTAAGAAGGTCCATAAACAATAAAATATTATTTTATTTCTGGATTTGAATTAATTTTTATAATCATATTTTTTGTTCGTTTTTTAATAAATTTTCTGTTCGTGCAAGCCAGCACTGACTTTTTGTTCTTTTCCCAGAAGCTATTTATTGATATATTCCTAGTTTAATCGAGATAACTCGTTGTTGGCTTCCTAGAAAAAAACACAACGCGTAAGCATTGTTTTACTTAGTTTGAATTCGACTACTGGTGATAGCAGTACGGCCTAGCGTGCGTACATTGTTTACTATTTATTCATTGTGTATTAAGTATAGAACCTAGTAATGTCATCACAAACTCAGAAGCGAAAGCACAAAACATTGAAAATTAAAGGAAAATGTGATATTTTAGACCGCTTAAATCGCAATGAAACTTTCAGGAAAGACATAGGCATGCTCCAATTTCAGGACCCATGTTGGCCATGAAAGCTGAGTTTTTTATAAGGAAATAACAAAAAAAGATGATTTTGTGGCCAGCAAAGGATGGCTAAAACGTTTTAAAAGTCGTCATGGCATACGTTTAATGACTATTACAGGAGAGAAACTTCCTAACGATGTCACTTGCATAGAGCCCTTTAAATTAAGATTTTTGCAAAAGGTGAACGATTTAAATCTTGACCCGTCACAGGTGTACAATGCAGACGAATCAGGGCTTTTTTGGCGTGTGATGCCTAACAAAACTTTCGTTTCTTGTAACGAAAAATCCGTACCTGGACGAAAAGTAAGTAAAGAGCGTGTAACCATACTACCATGTGCTAACGCTGCTTGCACACACGCGATTAAGATGATGGTCATTGGGGAATCTAATAAACCACGGGCATTCAAAAACATTGATTTACCTGTACACTATTACGGACAAAACAGTGCATGGATGACAAAAGACTTTTACAAAAAGTGATTTGATGAATGCTTCGTACCTGAAGTTAGAAAATGGTTAAAAGATCATAATTTTCCTCAAAAAGCGTTGTTGCTTCTTGATAACGCTCCCGGTCATCCGTCTGAAGAAGAACTAAAAACTGATGATAAATGCATCACTGCGATGTTTCTTCCGCCAAATTGCACTGCACTGATTCAACCAACGGACCAGAATATCATTCAGTTTGTCAAGCAAGACTATAAGAAAAACCTACTTCTGAGAGCCGTATCAAAAGACCAAGCAATAGAAAAAAGTTTAAAAGAATTTAATATGAAAGACTTGGTTTTTGCTCTTTGTCAGTCGTGGAATGCGTTACTGTCATCAACTATTAAATCGTCTTGGAAAAAGTTATGGCCAGATATAGTCACCACTCCTAGCACCGTTCCACAAATCAGTGTTACTTCGGAAGTTATAGAACAAGTGGCTACTGAAACACAGATAAGTCCGGAAGATTTGGAAATCTGGTGCCGTGAAATGGATAAAGAGGAAAATGTTTTTCATGAAATGTCTGACGAAGAGATTATAAAAGAGGTTTCTAATTATACAACAAACAATCAGGAAAATAACGACGGCGTGATTGCAACTGCTCCACAAGTCACAGCACAAGACGCAATTAACGCCTTTAAGCTAGGTTTACAATGCGCTGAAGAGAATGGTACATCCTACAACGAACTTTTACTTTTGAGAAGACTGAGGGACAAAGCTCTGATCTCGCGTTATAACAACCTTAAACAAAACAAAAAAATGATGAATATTTCCAAGCTTCATAATTTGATAAATTCATTAATGATTTTGATTAATAATTCTTGATTATTTTGGAACATATGTATGTGCATTTATGCTTAATTTTATAATAAAACGTAAGCTCTATGTTGTCATTTAATTTACTAAATTCGACATACATAGACTATGTATGATTTGTACTTCAAAGTACATACATATACGTAACATTAACATTGGATATGTAATTTGTCGGATTACAAGGTACTCTTTTGTAAAAAATTCCGGACTATATTGGGTCTTAGGCAGTGCTCTATAATCCGACAAATTCGATAGTCCGACACTGCCCTGCATAATGTTTGTCGGATTACCGGAGGTCCACTGTATAAATATTCCCCTGTAGCGGCGTGTCAGCGTCGACATCGCCCTAGTACACCAGTTAGAGTGACCTAATGCACTTGCCACAGTAGGCAGTGGCTTATTCATCGAGCTTTTATCATTTAATTTTCCCATTGTTACCGGGCTTCTTAATGACGTCTTTGACTGATACTAAAGACATTTACCACCCCTTACCCCCTACAATCCGATTTTCAACGCCTACAGTTTTTTTTTAAATATTAACCTTTGAAACGAAGTTAATGCGATTTTTTTTTCACTTCCCACTCTGCCGAAAACTACAACGCTTTTTCGCCCTTGGAATAGTCGTAACTCTGTGTAATAGAGGGGTCAAGCATTGGCCGACAGAGTAGTAGTAGAAAAACTAAATTCATTGTTTTTACATTATCTGCAATGAACACAATACAAGTCTGAATATAAGCACTTTTATGAGGGACAAAAATATGTAGACAAATTCTTTTCAACATTAGTTTAGTACAGTTTCGTGTCAGAAGAGGATTAGTCTGTGTTCATCAAGTATTGTGGAATAAGTTGAGCGATTTTAAGACCGTGCCGCGTGGCCCAGCAATTTATTTCGATGTGAAAACTAAGATCCTTGAGTTATACAAAGATGGTCAACGTCAAGTCGACATTGCCAAAAATTTGAAGTTGAAGCGTAAAGCAGTTTGGGCAATATTGAACAAATATAAAGAAAAAGGTATCTTGGAAGCGTCTAAGAGAAGTGGTCGGCCTAGAAAACTAAATGCTAGATCAGTTAGATTAATAAAAGTAATTTCGTCCAAAGATCCGTTTAAAACCCCAAGACAAATAAAAACCGAAATCGAGACAAAAGGAATTGTCAGTGTTTCTACGAAAACTGTAAGTAGAAGATTAAACGATTTGAAGTTATTTGCACGTCGCCCTAGTAAGAAGCCGATAATCTCGAGGAAAAACGGTAAGGACCGATTACAATTTGCACGGTTGCATCTGTGACTGGAAGAGGGTATGATTCAGTGGCGAATCTAAGTTCAATATGTTTGGATCAGATGGTGTTCATTACGCTAGACGTACTAGTGGACAAAGATTTTTTGTTGAAAGACATGTTCATCACACTGTTGGAGTTATGGTTTGGGGTGCTATAGCTTATGGTTCCAGGTCACCTTTAATCTTCATCAGAGGTAACATGAACGCGCAGCGTTATATCCACGAAGTTCTAGAACCCCATCTTTTACCCTATCTTGACACCCTGGCAGATCCAACTTTCCAACAAGATAATGCCCGACCACATGTTGCAAGAGTCACAATAGACTTCTTTCAACATAATGATGTCACATTGTTACCATGGCCACCAAGATCTCCCGACTTATCCCCAATTGAACACGTGTGGGATATGATGGGTAGGAGATTGCTCAATTTGCAACGTCCTCCTCAGACTCTGGAAGCACTTTGAGAGGAGTTGGTGGTTGCCTGGAATGAGATACCACAGGAGGACATTGACCACCTGATCAGAAGCATGCCTAGGCGCGTTGGAGAATGCGTAGCACATCAGGGTGCATCCACACATTATTAAAGGTCAAAGGGCTTTAAAGCAGTGCAATCATTTTGAAATTTTTATCATTTACTTATTATGCTTCATTAAGTACTTATACAAAATTTTAATAAAATAAAACCATTTAAACTCGGATTTATATGTCACTTAGTATATATATATATATATATATATATATATATATATATATATATATTTGTCCTTCATACAGGTTATTGTATTAATAAAACAAGTTAAAAAAGAAATACAACACAATATTAATTTATCTATATACCTTTGTCCATTACTGTACATGACCAACGGAAGTGAGTGACATGCCTTTTTGTACATCCAAAAAATATAACATCCCATTTTCGCGATTACAATACAGGGTGGTCTATAAGTCCTTTGAAATTTCAAATTTGAATAAAATTTAACGGGTGAGCGTGAGCGGCGCGGGCGAGGTGGGGGCAGTATCTTCAGTGTCTGGGAATTCAGTCGCCATGGAGTGTTTCACTGGAGGGGATCGTGCTTTTTGTGTGCGCGCGTTTTATCAAAATAATGTTTCGGCAACTATTGCGGGGCGTAAATATCGAGAATACCACAATTTACACAATTTTACAAAGTGTCCAACAGCTCAAACGATTAAGAACTGGGTTGCTAAGTTCGAAGAGACTGGTTCGACGTTAGATAAACAGCGGTGGGGTCGACCAAGGACAACTCGTATTGAAGAAAACATCAACATTGTGGCACAGTCTGTTCGGTCAAAATCCTACCCAGTCTACTCGTAAGCGTTCCAGTGCACTAAACGTACCCAGAACATCTTTACAGCTGATTTTAAGGAAAGATTTACGTCTGCACGCTTACAAAATTCAGTTAGTGCAGGAATTAAAAGATAATGACGCTATTCAGAGACTAAACTTTGCGAATGAAATGTTGAATCGATTTTCTTCGCTCAATAATGTGTTGTTCTCGGACGAGGCTCACTTCCATTTAAACGGGCATGTAAATAAACAAAATTGCCGTTATTGGAGCCCCGAAAATCCAAGGCGTAAGCATCAGAAGCCCTTACACAGCTCTAAAGTTACAGTTTGGGCTGCTATGTCAGCGCATGGCATCGTAGCCCTTATTTTTTTGAGGACGACAGAGGTCGCGCATTAACTGTTACTTCGGAGCGGTATGTAGCAATGATAGAGGAGTTTTTGACAACAGCGTTGCAGAATTTTCCAGGCTATAATACGCAGACCTGGTTTTAACAGGACGGAGCAACTGCCCACACCTCCAACACTTCTATGCCCGTCGTCTGTCAACTTTTTCCCAGCAAAGTAATTTCTCGAAGAGGAGACATTTCCTGGCCACCACGTAGTCCAGATTTGACCCCAATGGACTTCTTTTTATGGGGCTACCTCAAGAGTAAAGTGTACGACACCACTCCGCGATCAGTTGATGTCCTGAAAGAAAATATCCGAAGAGAAATGGCAAGCATTACAGTGTTGACTTGCCGCGCAGTCATCGACAATTTTAGACGTCGTTTATATGAGTGCCGTGATCGTAATGGATTGCATTTAGACGATGTGATTTTTAAAAGATAATTCCCATTCAATAAAGATGATAACAAAATATAATAATTCTTCATAATGTAACTAGTTTGGTTTTATTCCTTTTTTTCCAGCCCAAAGGACTTATGGGCCACCCTGTACTTCCTCGCACAGTGGCATAGTTACTAAAAAAACGTGCCACTTTTTGTAACGGTTTCAACTAATTCCAGTTGACTTACGATATATAGTTATAAAAAATCTGCCATGTACGACTGTCATAAAAAAACTACACGTTCCACAGCATGTCATACAAAGTATGCAATAATTCATGTATGCATCGGCCAATATCAGACGTACAACCTTTATCCTTCGTATATCATTAACGTATCCTCGCGACAATTAATCGAACGGACAGCATCGGGCAGCGCACGCGAAAAGCCCATCTTGTTATCACCAAAAACCGTCCGGACAGCAACTGCTGAGAGCGGATGCATGGTCAGGGTAGCTGCTGCAGTCTGCAGCGGTCTGCAGCGCGCTAACTTAATGAACTTGTCGAATACGACACGATGCTGGTCGACATGACATCCTGGAACGCCTCATGAACAGCGGACGTTCATATTTTTTCAATTTCGACGTCGCACAATGGCGGAGATAAGAGAGATTTAGGCTCGATTTTATTTAGCAAAAAGCACGTGTAGTCCAATCATATTAGACGAAAATACCCCTGGTTTGGGAGGTATTTAAAATATGGACGCATAAAATGGGTTCGCCAGTTTTTGTGGAAAAACTTTTTACTCGACAACAAAGAATGCGAAAACGTGTTCTTTGGTATTCGGTCGGAAGCGTTGGCAGGAACGAAAAAACTTTTCAAATAAGATTTTTAGGTATTTATAAGATCTACAGAATGAGATCACACGTAATAAGTTCCCACTAATATACTAAGTGACATATAAATCCGAACACCCAGTTTAAATGGTTTTATTTTAATAAAATTTTGTATAAGTACTTAATGAAGCATAATGAGTAAATGATAAAAATTTCAAAATGATTGCACTGCTTTAAAGCCCTTTGACCTTTAATAATGTGTGGATGCACCCTGATGTGCTACGCATTCTCCAACGCGCCTAGGCATGCTTCTGATCAGGTGGTCAATGTCCTCCTGTGGTATCTCATTCCAGGCAACCACCAACTCCTCTCGAAGTGCTTCTAGAGTCTGAGGAGGACGTTGCAAATTGAGCAATCTCCTACCCATCATATCCCACACGTGCTCAATTGGGGATAAGTCGGGAGATCTTGGTGGCCATGGTAACAATGTGACATCATTATGTTGAAAGAAGTCTATTGTGACTCTTGCAACATGTGGTCGGGCATTATCTTGTTGGAAAGTTGGATCTGCCAGGGTGTCAAGATAGGGTAAAAGATGGGGTTCTAGAACTTCGTGGATATAACGCTGCGCGTTCATGTTACCTCTGATGAAGATTAAAGGTGACCTGGAACCATAAGCTATAGCACCCCAAACCATAACTCCAACAGTGTGATGAACATGTCTTTCAACAAAAAACTGTGTATTCCTCCTTTCACCACGTCGCCTTCTAACCCTGGCACGACCATCGTGCATGCCTAAACAAAATCGAGACTCGTCACTAAAGACAATACTGTTCCATTCCTGATCCCAGAGAGACCGTTGTCTGCACCACTCAAGGCGATTACGTCGGTGTTCTCGAGTTAAAGGGAGGACCCAGTGTGGCCGCTATGAAAACAAGCCAAAACTTCTCATTCGTCGGTAAACACTTCGCATGCCAATAGGTCTTCCGTGTTCTGCAAACCATTCATTTGCAATGGACCTGGTAGTGGAGAAACGCTCCCTTAAGGCCAATAATCTTAGGCGGCGATCTTCACGGTCTGTTGTTCTACGGCGGCGTCCAGTGCTCCTTGCTCTTTGCGTACGGCCTTCTCGAAGCCATGCCTGACAACACCTAACCACAATGTCTACACTTCTTTGCACTCTAACTGCAATTGCCCGAAAAGAAAGTCCAGCTTCCCGAAGTCCCACTATACGGCCCCTATCAAACTCACTAAGTTGATGAAATCGTACAGGTCTCCGTACTCTAGGCATCGTAACCGATCGTAAAGGATGTCAAGAACCAAAATCCGCCAACGTTGATTCTTTACTGCGGCTGAAATATTCATTTTTAGAGCGTTAGTGAATTAAAAAAAAAAGCACTATAAAAACCGGAATGTCCAACTGATAAGGCTGAAAATTTGTTCACTTGTTATTTACAGTAAGATAAATACATTCACCAACTTTTATTAACATAAAACCATTTAAACTAGGTGTTCGGATTTATATGTCACTTAGTATAGTAAAAAAGTTATGGCCGAAAACCGAGGCAAAACGCAGATTTTGGCACTTGTTGCTAATGCGTCGATAATTTCACGCAGCAACTTGAAATTCTTCTTATCCGAAGGCTTGTTACTTCAACAGGGTGTTCCACAACTTATCCGACAAATTTTAACCACATATGCACTGTTATGAAAGAAGTTGATTTCTCAAAAAAAATGTAATAAAAGTCCTACATAAATTGAATTGAAAAATAAATATCTGTATTTTGCGCTCATTGTTGTGATATTAGAACAACGCATTAATAATTTATTGTACCAAACAACTGACGAATACAAAATACCAGGAATTTTTTGTTTTTTCATACTGATAAGAACGTGTAACTAGGGTTTAATCTGTATCGTGGGTGATTTGAATGAAGAACGGTCGATTTTTGTGACGTTAAATAAGAAAGTATTTTGCGAGTTTATGTTTTTAGTTATCTATTAATAAAAATGGCACATGTACACTTGTCTTCCGGGTGTCACTACTAGTTTACTGATCAATACGGGTGCGTTCAAAGGGTATTTTATAGCAAAATACACGAGTCTACCTTGCCGACATGAGTCACAAGCCATTCCGAAAGATAATTGTTATTTTTATGCGAAGAACAAAGGTTTCCTTTTTTCCTCCTAAGCAAATTCAAACATTTCGTATTTGGAAGTAACTGAACATCCGTTATTATACAGGGTGGCGCATCGAAAACGAAACAGACGCATTTACTGGCAGCTCAGTTTTTTTTGAAAAAAGCTCAGACCCGTCGATTTTGCTTTCGAGGGCAAGTTTGGCAAAAAATCACGGGGGTGACACCACCCCCAAAATCTTAAATGGAAAGGGGGGTCGAGTGATACCTTATTTTAAAGGTCTTTCAAATGATAAACAAACCATGGGCGTAGTGAAGAAAAGCATTTACTTATTAAGTAAATTCATTCAGTCAAATTTCTTCTGAAAGTAGTACAAACTAATCTGATGTACCTATTAAAGTCTACTTTAAGCTTTAAATCAATAAATCTTCAAAACTACTGAACTGAAGTACACTAATTTTATATCATTATAAAGGGAATTGAAAGACCTTTAAAATAAGGTATCACTCGACCCCCCTTTCCATTTAAGATTTTAGGGTTGTAGTCACCCCCGCCCAAACTTGTGCCCCCTCGAAAACAAAATCGACGGGTCTGAGCGTTTTACAAAAAAAAAACAACTGAGCTGCCAGTAAATGCGTCTGTTTCGTTTTCGATGCGCCACCCTTTATATGCCCACATTGCCACCTTCTACTGAGCTTACTCCATTGCGTTGACCATGATTTTGATTTTTGAGCTGTCATAACTTTTTTAGAACAAGGAGCAACTTATTGAGGGTTTATTACTTTAAAAATTTCCTTTTTTTGCTTATTTGCTTAGCAACGA